ATGAAATCCAGGGCAGTGCGGTCGCTTAATGGAGAATACTAGCCTTTTGTATGCGTACTCATCTGATTGGAGTCTTCGGTGTCAAATATTGCGATTAGTGCATTCAAATTTGGAATCTGCAGACACTTCGTGTCGGGCTCGCGTCGTAGGGTATCCGAAAGATCTTGAACGCCGTAACCTCATATGCAATGGGATCGGACTGGGGATGCAGAACGCGGGAGTGTATTTGCTTTTGTACGCTTTGTGTCGAGGTGTTCAATACGATGGGATCAAGAAGTGGTTGCACCAACCCAATTGAAGAATCACGAGTGCATGGCTTCAATTCTGCGAGCAATAGCAAGGTCATACATATCATTTGGAGTAAGCACTCTTGAGATCTTGCATCTGCAATGTAGTCGGCGGCGCCGTCTTGAAATGCCTGCAGTGATCTATCCAGGCACGCTACAGCGCTACCATGCTCCGGAGCTCGTCCTTTACGACTTGAAGGTATGCATATATGTGCATGTTGGCTCTCTCATCCTCCTGGCTTGTCTGCATGTACATCGATATCTGGGCCTTGGGCGTTGTTTTCTGCGACCTTTTGGCCACGGCCGTGCCCTTTTCCGACGACATTCACCTCCGTGACGCGACCGACATCGCCAAGAATGCACCAGCGCAAATTGATTGCCGGCATGCTCGAGCCCGAGCCGGACCGCCGGCTGCGTCGCCGCGCTTCGAGCCGATTTCACCAGCCGCGCTGCGTTGAGTCGTACCACTCGCTACCTATGAACTGAAGGCGATTGCATTTAAGTGTTGCCGCCGTGTCGCGAATCCGAACGCTATCGATGAGAAAGTGTGCGTTCGACCCGCCCACTGCAACCTCGCTACCTACAAAAAGTACTGCATGGGACAAAACATAAAAACAATGCACAAGTTGTCCATGTAAAACGATAGCATGCCAAACACGACCAGTGCAAACCCAACAAGCGCAAAAAAAGAGGTACGAGAGCAGAGGCGACGCGTGCGGGAAGAGCAATGGACTGAACGCAGCTCTCTGGAGCGCGGCGACCACGAGGACGAGGACGCCGTACGCGAGCATCCGACGATCGCACCGTCGGTGACGCCAAGCGCTGCATCATTTCGCGGGCTTTCGATCCTCTCCTTGACGAGCGCGACCAAAAGACCCGTCAATAGCTGCACGTACGACACGACAAACACAAACGAGACAAAGTCGCTGGCGGTCGCAAAACACGGCGATCGGGAGCACGAGACCGCCAACGGACGGCTGCAGCAAGCGCCGTGCGTCCAGCGAGAGCTCGCGCAAAGTGAGCGACATGCTCGCGCAAAGGACCCATTTCACGACGGAGCGACCCAGTCCACAATGGAACGCACGCTGCAAAGCGCGGTAGTAGTGCTCGAGACCCAACCTACCAGCAACAACGATCCGAGTGGGGCTAGGGTACCGCTGGTACGGCTTGGCGACCAAGGCTTTCTGGTTGCGATCGACGTCGCGCTGAAGCGCAACGTGTAGGCGCCTGCACTGCCTCGAGGTGCGATGTCAAAGCAATGGCCGCGTACATCTTGGGTGGCTCCGATCGTGGCGAAACGAGGTGTCTACACGGTGCTACAAAATGAGACGGCGATCGCAAAGCTGTCTGTACCCAATGCGTCGTATTCGAGCGTTTGGCACACACCTAGCAACAACAACATGAGTGCATCAAGCCAAGCCAAAGCACACTGCGTACATCAACCATTGGTGGTCATCAGCGCAAGAGAGGCTGCGCTAATAGAGCTTGCATGGCACGCACTTGGCGGCGCAGGTCGTGCGCGTGCCGTGACGTCGGATCGATGCTAGCGGCAGCTCGCACACCTTGCTAGGCGTGTCGACGGCGAAATGCCTGGCGACAGCTACATCCAGCGACGGAAATGAGCTAGCGTCACGTCCATGGTGCGTACCTTCGTCGAAGCGGCGAGAGCGCGGCGACGCCATGCAGAGCGCAGCGACTGCCCAAGATACGATCTGGAGCCCGCGGAGCTCGGAGACGGCCTTCTTGGACGGCCACACATCGTCGAGTCGGGCCCAGGCCGTAGCACCACTGGCCGTACGCGGGCGTCGTCGGCTGCACCGAGCGCCTTTGGATCGTCGCGAGCTTGTCGCATGCGGCGCGCCAGCGTCGACTTGCAGGTCCTGTGTCGTAGCCCGTGGCCTCGTCGTGAAGCCGCTTTGTCCGTCGATGTTGGCAGATGGCGCGCATGCCATTGGATGAAATGGGTGTTTTGCGCGCGCAGCAAGTCGAAACGATCTTTTCACGAAGCGGCGTATCTTGCGAGGCTGTCGTAGAGCTAGCATTCTAGATTTCGACGCCTACTAAGCAACCCGCCTCACCTCACCCGAGGTCATGGCAGTAATGAAGGCATTACGCCCTTTGGCAGATGGCGCGCATGCCATTGTGAAATCCTGTCTGCTACGCCACATTTGATTCGCTCCAATATCTTCAGGATCGCGATGCCATTGGCCTAGAACACTATTTTCAAACAAGATCCCGTCACTCCACTATATCACACCGCCAGACAATCATGCTTTGCCTGCGTCTCGCTTGTCGTCGCCGCCTCGTTCATTGCCAGAGAGACTCACTAGTCACGTTGGCGCCTCGAGCAGCCGTCCAAAGCCTCTTGCATTGCGTCTTTGCGTCTCTAGCAACAAGGTACAGTCTCAACGACACGCCATTCGTCTAGAAGCTCGTCCATAGACGCCGTGCGATGACTTCCTTGTAGAAGCGAGAACCAACATGCTTTTACAACACGTCGTGTGAATATATATTCATTTTGGTATAAAGTGCAGCACATGAGCGAGAGCATGACCTGGACGTCGCCGTGGACCGCGTACGAGGCGATTCAGCTGCTTGGTGAGGGCGGCTTTGGCGAGGTCTACCTCGCGCGCCACTACGCCACCGACCACCTCGTTGCGCTCAAGGCCTTGCGGCTTGCCACAAGCGACGCCGCCAGCGCCCGGCGCGAAATCGAGATTGCTGTCCGTGTGTGTCACCCGAACCTCGTCATGATCTACGAGTGGAAGTTTACGGTATCGTACCTGCTCTTGGCGACAGAGTATTGTCCGAACGGCGACCTCTTCGATTTCAACCAAACGTACCAGCCGCTGCCGCTCCAGACGATCCGGAAGTTTACCGGGCAAATCGCGGCCGGCCTCGGTGCGCTGCACGCTGCTCACGTCATGCACCGCGACATTAAGCCCGAAAACATCTACGTCGACCACAACGTACGTTCATATACCATCCTCGGACACTTGAGAGACTCATGCATCGTAGGAGAACCTCAAGATTGGCGACTTTGGCATGGCGATCTTTTGTCATCGCCCTCGCCTTGACAACTGCTGGGTACATGGCATTTCCAGGCGCCAGAGCTCCTCCGCAACGCGCCCTACGACCATTCGGTAAGCGTGGTAGTATTCCATCCATGGCTTCTCATGACGTACCAGATCGACGTGTGGGCCGCTGGCGTCGTGCTCTACGAGCTGCTGACTGCCGAGTCGCCCTTTCGGACCCGGTCCAGCATCCTCCGTGGCGAGTATGAAATGCCCGATTACGCGTCGCCGCTCTTGCAAGACCTTCTTCGCGGTATGCTTGCGGTGGACCCACGTCGCCGCCTGTCGCCAGCCGCGATTGCCGCTCATCCTTGGCTCACGTCGTTGTAGAGAGAAGACGTGTTGGATCGAACATATATCTTCAATGAATATACTCTCAGTGTGCAGTATTGTATAGACACTGCGTGGCTTTCAGAGACGTGCGCATCAGCTGATCGTATGTAGCAGACTCGACGGGCGACGTGAGCGAGCGCAAGGTGGATCGTGCATCGAGCTCTTGTCTAGTCGTCTCAAAGCATCGCGATGTGTGCTCCATTTAGAGTTTTGTCTTGACTACAGAACCGCCTTGCCGCTGTGAATCGTACAAGCCAGACAGCCAAGGACACGATTCGCAAATGCCGGCTTTCGACGACGGGCAGGAGCGGCGTCGGCTGCAAAGCGAGAACGAAAGGACGAGAGAACTAGTGCCAACACACCAATGATGCAACCAAGAACTGCACCGACCCTTGCACACCATGAGGTGGGTGCCAGTAGCTCAAGCTGGTCATCCGGAGTACATCCGGAAGATACGCATTTTGGCGCCAACCACAACGCGATGACAAGCTTCGTGGCAGGCACTACGCGAGTGGAGTTGGTAATGGTATGTGTCGCTCGACAAGCGTCTATTCTCACTCTCCCATTGAAAGGACAAGACTGCGAGCGACGTCAACCGTCTGGGCCACACCAATTTTCCGATGCTATCCACCACGAGAACCTGCGCTGCATTGAGGCAAGAAAGCAAAAATGAAATCCAGGCAGTGCGGTCGCTTAATGGAGAATGCTAGTTTCTGTATGCGTGGTCTTTCAAATCAGGGTTTTGCTGCGAAATTTGACGTTTAGCGCATTCAAATTTGAAATCTGCAGACACTTCGTGTCGGGCTCGCGTCGTAGGGTATCCGAAAGATCTTGAACGCCGTAACCTCATATGCAATGGGATCGGACTGGGGATGCAGAACGCGGGAGTGTATTTGCTTTTGTACGCTTTGTGTCGAGGTGTTCAATACGATGGGATCAAGAAGTGGTTGCACCAACCCAATTGAAGAATCACTAGTGCATGGCTTCAATTCTGCGAGCAATAGCAAGGTCATACATATCATTTGGAGTAAGCACTCTTGAGATCTTGCATCTGCAATGTAGTCGGCGGCGCCGTCTTGAAATGCCTGCAGTGATCTATCCAGGCACGCTACAGCGCTACCATGCTCCGGAGCTCGTCCTTACGACTTGAAGGTATGCATATATGTGCATGTTGGCTCTCTCATCCTCCTGGCTTGTCTGCATGTACATCGATATCTGGGCCTTGGGCGTTGTTTTCTGCGACCTTTTGGCCACGG